AAGAGATTAATAAATCTAAATTAGGATTGCATATAAGAATATTCTTAAAATCTTTAAAAAAATCGTATAATTTTTTGAGAACCAATCAACAAAAGATCACTTATCTTTTAATATTTCTAAATAAAGAATACCAAGAATTTGTTTTAATATCATATAATTTTTCTAATCTACTAATAATAATTCAAGATCTTTATTCAGGATGAGATAAAATATTGTTAATAATCATAAAATAAAATAAAATAAAAACGAACGAACAAACGAACGAACCGTATCGTATGTTAACTTTTTTTTTTTTTATACCTTTTTGGACCAGCTTTTTCGTGAAAACCAAGGCATCTTTGATATCAAATTATTTTTGCTAATATTTTTTTTTGAATAAATTTTATGATCTATTGAATTACAATCATTCACAAAGATTCAAAGATTAAGACTAATATCTTGAACGCCCTTTCAACACTTTTTTTATTTTATTTTTTATATATTTTTTTTTAAATTTATTTTTCACATGTATAATAAAATCGTAAGAAAGTGTAATGTCGTTTCCTCTATTAAAAATAAAAATAATAATTATTGGTTTTTTTTTTTTGAAAAACCAATTTCTATTCTATTCTATTAAAATAATTTTCTATTTAAATAAATGCAGGAGTATTTTTTTTTTTTTTTTAAAGGAAGATAGTTGAAAAAAAGTTATAAAGAAAAAAAAAAAAAAAAACAACCTCGGTCATAAAAAAAAAATAAAAGATGTTTTTGGAATTTATAGTCAATATTACCAAAAGATCTTTTATATAAACATGATTTAATATGAAGCCCTAAAACTGTCTCATTCATTATTTACGAAATTCGGTTAGTTGTAAAGTGAAATTGAAAATTGAAAATTGAAAATCTTAAAAGATCATTCCGAATGAAGAATGACCGTTTATAATTTTTTTGATATACAAAAAGGAGGAAATCCTTATTTAGAGATACATTTAATTAGTTTAACTTGGTTGCTGGAAAACAATTTTACATAAAAACTCAGCTTTCAAAAATGATGAAAGTAACTAAAAATGTTAATACAGATAATCGTTACAGACCCTTCAATTATATATGACAAGAAAATTCTTTGAAACATGATTTATATACTTTAGCGTTAGTATTATTACTTACTATGTAATTTTGTTTTTTGCAAAGTTTTTTGTAAGTAAAAAAAAAAAAGTTTCATTTTTTTTATCGTCTCTATTACGTAGCAATTGTCATTCTATATACAAAATTATTACACAAAGTGAAGGGGGGCTCGGAAGTTGTACATTGTGATTTGCAACCTTGATCTTCTAAAATGACTCATAAAATACATAAGTTATCGATGAATTGCATGAGAATTTAGCTAAAAGATTATCAATGCAAAGTAAATTTGGTTAATTAATTAAGATCGAAAAAAAAAAGAACTTGGATGTACAGTACAGTTATGGTGTTACTTCGGAATGAATATATTCAGATAATTTTTTTTTTAGACAGTTTTTATTATGTAATCAACCTTGTTTTTTTTTTCCCTCACGCCATAAGTCAAAAAGGCATATCTAAATACTCTATACCATATTTAAGACTATTGTGTGCTATTTGGGTTAAATTGTTTCACATAATGAATTGTTTCTTTTCATTATAAGCCAGGTTTCCGTATTAAAGACTTTATTTAAAAAAGCCAAGCAGGTTCTTTAAGGGTTTCTGATTATGATATTATTAAATTCCCTAATTATTTATTAGAAATTAAAATTTTGATAAGGTTGTCCCTAATTAGGGGTAACTTTGTGTAATGTAAGAATTCTTTAAGTTTTTTTTTTTATTAAATAAATAAATAAACAACGGCGGAGAATCATTTATAGATTTCACCTGAAAGTCTTTATAGAAGGAACCAAAATTCTGTATTCAATTTGATCCGTCATGATGTACACATCATCGAGTTTAAGAACTTTTTGATCAAATAATATTCTTACAGTAAATACTGCAAGTAGATTATTAAAAAAAAAAAAAAAAAGGTTATCTTGTTGTTCCGATGCCTTTATCTCATCGGAAAAACACCTCAGTTATAGGCAAAATTGAACGGTTATCGTTTCAGAAACTGATATTTTACGATTGATAAATTAGTACAATGTAGTTTAAAAGTTCTATTGTATGCAATAGTCCAGATCTTGTTTAATTTGATGAAATTACCAAAATTGAAAATTGTTTATTTTGTTTACAATTTATTACAATGCTTTTATTTAAAAAACTGGTTTAAATTATATAGAGTAGTTTTAATCTGTCCGATCAACAAATCAAGTTGAGAATTGAACAATTATAAACCTATCGAAGGCACTAATAAATAGGCAGTCTTACTCTAACCTTAAATACTTTAAATACTTTAAATGCTTTAAATACTTTAAATACTTTAAATGCTTTAAATGCTTTAAAACTCCGATTTTTTTCAGTCTCAAATAACTGCCTTTGTTAATAACGTCACGTGAAGCTCTTGGCCCGTGTACTTTATGTGTAGCATGTACTGTACGCATCAAATATAGATAAAGTTTATAAAATACCGGCATCTTAGAACCATTATTACCGCATATGGGAATGCGTTAAAGTTGTAAATGAGGAATAAATTAAGTAGATAAATAAATAAAATGAATTTAGAATTCTATTTATAATTTTTTTCGAAATGGCGCAATAATTAGTGAAATGTCAAATTTTTTTCGAAAGATGATTGGTAAATAGAATATTCTTTCGATCTGGTTGTTTAACTGTACGCACAAGTTAAAAAAAAATATCATCTACAAAATTGCGCTCTCCTATAATTTAATTTAGTTGATCGCTAAAAAAAAAAATCAAATTTTATCTATGAAACGAGTGCTTAACAGTAATAGGTAACCTAATCTAAAATATTTGTTTCAAGATAAACTTTTTTCCTTACATGTTTTCTTTGCATTAAAATATACTGGGGTATTTGTATAATGATAGTACGTAGATTATCTCTCAACAATTCTATTGGATTAATAAACCTGCTTTTTTATTGATTTTGATTTTCTTCTATCGCTATCTCTATTGAACCATTCAACTATCAAATCACCCAATAATTCAATCATCCAATGAAACCATTATCTATACAAAACGTGTAAATTCCCTAATATTCATTTTGATTATTTTGTTAAATTGGCTTAAACTTTTTTTTTTTTTTTTTCACAACTGGATTTGGAGAGAAATAAATACACCTTATCGTTTTATTACATATATTAATTTAACGTATGCGTATGCACGTGCTTTTTCTATCAAATTAACGCCATTCACTTAATATGGTAGACTCGGGTAACCAATATATAAAAAACAATAGGTGCCCCATAAAAATTCCATAATTAGTTGAAAAACATTGTTGAAAAAAAAATTGATATCTTTAATCTAATCTTGATCTAATCATAAACATTAATATTTTTTTTTATAATCCATTTTATTGTTCTTTTATTTCACTAAAAATATTACAAACAGCCTAATACGTAAACCTGATTGGCGTAGGTAAATCATATAAATTAATACAACTAATCTATCTTAATATCTGATATGTACTGTACAGATGTATTTAAAATTAATATTAACTGCGGTTGGTCTGTGTTTTAAAGATCTTCAAATATTCATGTTTTTCATGATTTGTTTATTATGCGTGGCAATTCCAATGAAAGTTACCGTTTTTTTAATTATTTGTATATATGTGCCTAACCATTTGGCATAATCTTACATTGTGCATTTTTGATGTTTTGATCAACCAATACAATCTATTTATCTACATATTAATAAATTATCATAATAAAAAAAAAAAAAATACCGATATATATATATATATAATATTTTGAACGTTTTTTGTCCAATGTAGTACATTTTATGTACAGCGAACAATAGAGTTCAGAAATGGTATACCATTTTTAGGTAAAGCATTATCGAACTCGGTAATTACTTTTAGACTATGTACTTTTAATGATTTAGATGCGCTTGCTTTATGATGACTAGTATCTTTTTTTTTTTGTTTCGGATATTTGATTATATTGATTGATTGATTTGGTTTTGAGCTCAATCAATTATCTTTTTTTTTATTCTATAATTTATATAAAATTTTTTTTATATAATACCCATTGATGTAAAAATTAAAAAAAAAAAAATTTATTGCTCTTTCCGAGACAAAAATTTTTACCTCCTCTCAAAATAATTTATTTATAAAAAATAATAATAATAAATAAATAGATAGATTCTTAAATCTACTTTAATCATAAAGAGAGAAGGTAAAAAAAAAGAATGACCACTTATCAATCGATTGAAGAAGGAATACCTCGTAATCGTTCAAGTGGCTCTGATGATGGCGATAAAGTTGGTTTGCTATCTCATATTAGTCCCCAAAGACAACGACTATGGAGTAATTTGTTGAAATTTTTTGTTGGAGTAGTTTGTTTTTCTATTATTTTATGGTTCTCTTTGTATTGGTTTATGGCACCTCAAGGTATATACTATTTCATAATAAGTTAAAAAAAAAAAAAAGTTCGTTAAAAAAAACTCTTATTTTAAATTAGATTAATTAATTCATTGATTGATTGATTAACATTTAGCAATGGAAAATGAATTCGATTGGGCTGATCCAAATCTAATTGTTGCTAAAACCGGTGCTGTCGCCTCCGAAGTTGTTAATTGTTCTCGATTTGGTGTTGAAGGTAATTAATAAATATTTTCTCAAAACATATATCATTATTATTAACTATATCGCTTATAAAATTTTACAACTATTTAAGTTTTAAGAGATGGTGGTAATGCTGTTGATGCTGCAATAACGACTCATATATGTGTTGGTACTGTTAATGTATTTGCTGCCGGAATTGGAGGGTATATATTTTTATTAATTTACTATTCTTAACCGCGTTTTAAAACTCGTGTGACTAAAAAAATTCCTCTTTGTAACCACGTGACTACTTTAAATAGAGGTGGTTTCATGTTAGTCAGATTACCAAATGGATTCGCTGAAATTATTGATTTCCGTGAAGTCGCCCCTGGTGCTGCTCATCAAGATATGTGTAAACAAGAACCTTTATTATGTAAAGTTGGTCCTCTCTCTATTGCCGTACCGTAAGTGTCAATTATCATATCGTAATTATTGTAATAATTATAATAATTGTAATTGTAATTTTTTTTTCCCACATAGTGGTGAACTCCGTGGATTAAAATTAGCTCATGAAAGGTACATATCAAAATAACTTTATAATATGCATAATTATTTAATTATTTAATTTTAATATATTATTTATTTAACAGACATGGTAGACTTCCCTGGAAACGTCTTTTAGAACCATCAATTAGAATTTCTCGAGAAGGTTTCCCTATCCCAATTGAATTATTTGTTACTATGAGGGTATTATATATATATTTTTTTATTTACAATACATACATACATATATAGATAGATATATATATAATACTTTGTTATACTTATAAAACCTCAACTTTATTTTGATAAAAAAAGATGTACCAATACAAAATCGAACACAACAAAGAATTATGTGACATCTTTTGTGATTCTGATCGAAAAATGAAAAGACTAGGAGATATAATGTATCGAACTAATTATTCTAAATCATTGGAAAAAGTCTCGGAAGATGTCAATGAATTTTATTTGGTATATATAAATTTATATATTATTAATAATAATTTAATATAATATAATAATTTTTAATAATTTTAATACTTTTTATAATAATTTTATTAATTATAAGGGTTCAATCGCAAGATCAACTGTCGATACTATTCAAAGTAGAGGTGGTATAATAACAATGGAAGATTTGGCCACCTATAAACCTATTATTCGTGAACCTCTCATAGGATATTATCAAGGACGAAAGGTTTGTTGTCACTTGCATTATTGATAAATTATTTCACAATTTTTTTGTAGTTTATTAATTTTCTTTTTCTTTTTTTTTTTTTTTTAAAAAAAAAAAGCTTATAACATCTCCTGAACCTGGTAGTGGAACTATATTATTATTCTTATTAAATGTTTTGGAAGAATACAAGTTCCACGAACAAGGCCGTACCAAACTTAATATTCAAAGGTATATACATAATATTTTTGAGTTACGAATTAGGAAAAATACATATATCTAATATTTATTTTTATTTATTTATTTCCTTTTTTTTTTAATTTTTAAATAATTAGAATGGTTGAAGCATTCAAATGTAAGTAATTTAATTCTAATATAGCAAATATTGTTATAATTTATACAGTACATAATTTTAATGATTTTCTTTTTTTTTTTTTTTATAATGAAATTTAGACGCCATTGCTAGACGTACTGAATTAGGAGATCCCGCATTTGTAAGTATTCATTACAATACTATAAATTTAAAATAATTATACAAAATTAATAGTTACTGAATAACCTCTTATTTATAAAATAGTTCAAAAATACTACAGCTCACAAAGAACGTATAGAAGAAATAATTTCCAAAGAATATGCTGCAAGAATTCGTGAAAATATTACAGATGTAGGTGGTCTTAAATTTTATATATACAAAAGCTTGTTATATATATATATATATTTATATTTATATTTATATATAATTACTTTAATTTTAGACACGTACATTTAGACCTGATCACTATGAACCCGAGTATGCTACACTCGAAGATCATGGTACAACTCATATTTCAGTTGTAGACGTTGATGAGATGGCCGTTAGTATGACTGCTACTGTAAGTTATTTTTTACGGTAGTTATACAATATATTTTATATTATTAAACTAATTAAAATTAAACTCGATAAAATAGCTTAATCATTTCTGGGGATCTCAAGTAATGGATCCAAATACTGGAATCTTATTTAATGATCAAATGGACGATTTCTCAATTCCTGTACCACCAGCTATTGATAGATTCTGGCCTGCTCCTCATAATTTTCCTGGTAAGTCTTATCAAATCCTTTTTTAACTTTTAATAATGGTAGAATAAATTACCTAAAAAATATGTTATATTAACAGCACCAGGTAAAAAACCAATGTCGTCAACATCACCTACAATAATCGAAAGACCTGATGGAAGATTTGAAATGGCTGTTGGTGCTAGTGGTGGTACAAGAATTATGATGGCTGTTACACAGGTACAGTATTACCAAAGTCGGTTTATTATTATTCTCATATAACGATAACGATAATGACTAATAAATTTTTTTTTACCTTTTTTGTACGTATAGACATTATTAAATATTTATGAATTTAATTTGAACGTTTTAGAAGCTATTGATTATCCAAGGTTATATCATCCATTATTACCAAATGAAGTAAATATAATCTTATTATTTTTCAAATATAATAATTTTTTATGAACGATTGTATGATATGATATTAAATTTATTAAAATTTTAATGAATTTTTTATAGTTATTTGTTGAATCAGGATATCCATATGAGATATTAGAACATCTTATAAAAGTTGGACATATTGTTAGTAATGACTTTCATTTTAAATGTCTAATTAAATAAAAAATTAATATTAACAATAACGGTTATCGTTTTTTAAAATTCATAGGTTAAAATACATAGTATTTATAATAGAGGTTTTGGATGTCAAGTTCAATGCGTAAGAAAGTTTGAAAATGGAACTATTCATGGTATGTTAATATTATTACATACAATATATATTTTTATAGTATTTTATACACAACTAATTCCTTTATTATCTGTGTAGCTGCAAGCGATTTTAGAAAGAATGGAATAGCTGCAGGATATTAAATATTTTTATACAACATACTACATAATCTTAAAAAAAAGTATTTGTCAAAATTATTTTGAATATAATTTTTAAAAATTTAAATATAGGCGTTTAGTCTATCTTAAAAAAAAAAGAAAAAAAATTGAAAGGGTTTTTAAGTTTTTTACCGAAAAAAAAAAGAAGACAATCAAGTAAAAAAAAAAAAAAAAAACAAAATTAATTAAAAAAAAGTTTATGTATTTAGTGTTAGAATTTTTCATTTATACATGTAGGGCATTTAGATTTGGAGTTTGTTAACAAAAAAACAAAAACACGCTTACAAAATGTATTGTGAGTTTTAATTCATTAAATAAATTTGCTTAAAAAAGTATTAGTAATTTATTATTTTAATTGTGTAAAGTTTCACTCGTACACTCAATCAAAATTGTCAAAATATTGAATCAAAGTAAAATATCTTAAAAAATTTTGTAAAAAATCCTTTGATCTATGTTATAATACATGTGACTACTATTTGTGTTCTTAAAACGTACTTAACGTCTCTTTTCATAATATATATATGAAATAAAACCGAAATTTATTTTTGAAACCGAATTGAAAATATCAAAAACAGATTTAATATTAATCGTATTAAAGTTATGTAACAAAGCTTAAATTTTCTCCAAATAAAGTTTTAGCTTCTTTTGCTTCGTTGAATATTAATAAAATACATTGAAATCTAAAACTACAACTTTGAATAATTTTGTCATATGGGGGGCCTCACAGCAAAAGGTGGCTTTGGGATGTTTTAAAATTTGATCTTTAAATAAATATATCTCAAGATCTAGAAATTGGAAACAAATAATTTTTATATTATTTAATTTTTTTTTTTTTTAACAATTCAGCAGTCATGCCGTGACTTTATTTAGGTTTGTTTTTCATTAAAAAAACTATATTATCAAGTTTTATACTATCTAATGCCTAATTTTTTAAGCCTCGACTCACCCAGTTATCTTAAAGATACCTATATGCGATCTGCTATAGTAACCTTTGACTTATACTCGAGTAATTTATAAACTATAAACTACAGCTAAGTATAAGAAGGACACTACAGCCTATCATGACTAACTTAGAACCTAACTATCTAAAATTCCCTCCTTTATTTCCCTAATTATGCTATCTAATGCTATTTTTAGACTAACATTACAATTTTCTGTGTTCTCATCTACTTTGCATTTTGTTTTCCTCCCTCCAGTCTTTTTCTTTGGATCATTTTTCTTTTTTTCTTTTTTAGAGAACTTTTCTTTTTTAGAGATCTTTTCTTTTTTCTCTCATGCTTCTATGTCTTTGCATCAGCTTCTCCAAACTTCCTTATATATTAATTCTATCCATATATACCAGAACAGACTCCAAAATTTTGTCATCATGCTTTCAGAGCCAACAACATTTTTGATCTTTTTCGCATCTTCTTCACTAAGGGTACCTCTTATCCATCCCTTTCTTTGTTGTTATTTCTTTTCCTGTTCATATTGGAAAGCTTGTTGTATACTTAGTAAATTCCAATTTTTCTCCTTTCTTTTATCTTCGTAGAGCTGTTTCTATGCTTCTTCTTCAATTTTCTCTAGTACTTGACTAGATTTTTCACAAGTAATCAAGTGCCCAATTGTTTCTTTTTCCTTAAAACATCTTTTGCATAAGCTGTTTTTGTATAGTTGTGGTCTTCTACAATTTAAGATTTCAACTGTTGGAAGGAGATTTTTGATGCATTTAGTTTTAAACAATCGCAAGTGGTTTACTTCAGAATTCTGGTATTGCTTGCTGCAGTTTCTAAATATACTCTTAAAAGCTTTCTAATTCTGTTTTTGAATTCTTGTTTGGTGTTTCTTGTCATTTTTCTTTCTTAACTATGTCCATTCTGCTTTGTACATCATTTGAACTACCTTTTTAATGAAGGCTCTTATTGGAGTCTCCAAACTTATCTTTTTCTATTTGGGAATATATTTTATATTATTATTACTAATATTGCTCAGTTCTATACTATATGCTTTGTATATTCCTTCTTTTGCTAATATATCTGCAGCATCATTATAAGTATCTCCTGAATGGCTTTTAACTTTTGTAAGCAATAACTAGACTAATTTGCTTTTGCAAACTTTCTTAATTACACGCAGAATGTTATTGTTCTTTAACTTTAACCACTCACATGTTTTCTCATTCTTTAAACAGTTCTCAATTGCAAAAATTGCATATGTGCTATCTGTCCTTATTTCTACTTTGCAACTATTAGGGACTAATAAAACTATTACTAGACAAGCTACTAGCTCTGCTCAAGTAGATAAGAACCAATTTTCTATCTTTCCTTTATACCTAAAAACAATATTATTTGTGCTATCTATTTGGACTATGCTAAATCTCATCCTTATTTTTCCTCTAGTATCTTCTCCACTGAGTAAGCCATCTGTATAGAATACTATTTCCTCCATTTCTCTATTTGCCTCTAGTCTAGCCTTTAGTTCTTCTCTAATTTTTATATTTTGAACAACTTGGTTAATTAGCTCTGCTTTCTAGCTACTTTCTACTTCAACATACTCTCGATTCTTAAACTTTTTAAAGTTTCCTACTTTGCTTTTTTGATTCTCTTTCCCTATTTTTTCTAGATACTTTTTGTTGAATACTACCTCTGGTACATTATCTTTTTTCCTTATAAAGCTTGAGATGTTGTGAACTTCTTGTAATGTGATTCTTTGTCTTTGGCTATTTTTTTTAAGTTTGATTCCTTCATTATACGTTTCTTGTTAACTAAGTTCTTTATGCAAGTTTTCTTGGTCTTCTTTCTATATTTCTACTTCTACTATTTTCTTTTCTTTTCTGATAATGCGATCTATTTCACTTTCCTCATTTCTTTTATCTCTTATAAGTACTCATTCTTTTTTCCTCTTGTCTTGTGAAATTCCCTTTTCGATTTCTTGTACTTGAAATTTTCCTCTTTTCTAGTATTCTTCAGTTACTTCTCTTGAACTTTTATCTGCTAGGACTTCATTCTCTAGAGCTTGAAACTATTTCGCTTTTCTTCTGATATGTCTCTTTCCCTCTCTTACTTTGAGTTGTTTTTAAGTAATTATTTTTTCCTTTTCATTGTCTAACAGCTGGTTTATGTGTCATAAGTTAAGCTTAGTTATACCTTTCTGTCCTTCTTTTATATTGCATTTATTAAGAATACTACTAATAAGGCAACTTTTTTTTCTTGCAACTTTACGAAGTTCCAACTTTCTGTAAATTTATTTTTTATGATACTTATACTAAACTTTTTATATATTGCATTATTGAGGCTCCTAAGTTTCTATGCTTAGTTTTTTTCTAATTCAAATTCTCTGCAATGAAAATATATTTTGACATGTTTGTATCTAGTTGTGACTGCTTCAGCTTTATTAGAGTAGTTATGCCTACAATGCTATCTGTATTCATTCTTATGAAGAGCTCTGATATATGATGCTCTATGTGTTTTTACCATAAGCTTACTACTTCAAATATTTCTTTATGCCAGAGAGTCACATTTGCGTATATAGATAGGAGTTCCAATTTCTACTTTATTAGTCTAAGCATAAGCTAGTATATAGTATCACATGATCTTTTCTTGAGACATATATTTGCTAGCAGATACTCAAGCTTTGGAAACAATACCATATTGTTTATGTATATTATCTGACTTGCTGAGAGTTTTTTGTATCTTAATATACTGTTAACTTTCCTACTTCTTTTTTGCAACGTAGAATACTTGTTCTCTCTTGTTTTTTTAAACTAATTCAAATACCAAAAAACCTCGTGCTTTATTCTGGTTCTTTAACTTTAACTGGGCTTGGTGGTGTTCTAATTTAAATAAATTCTTCTTCCTTTTCTTTTTTATGCAGTCTCCAAGCTATTACTTCTGATTTTGCTTCGTTTATCTTAATATCATTCAATATAAAAAAGCTATTTGAAACATTTATAATCTCTTGTAATGCAAGCTTAGATTCTGCTACCTATGTAGTATCATCTGCATATGCCAATACTAATACTATAGCTTTTTCTGTTTTGAAAATTCGTCTTTCAATATCTATTAGCTATTGTAGCTCTATTTGGTACCTATTTCTAGCTGCTGTATTCTTACTAGTAATAGGTCATAAAATATTTTCTATATTAGTAGAGAGATTACTTCGCCTTGGTCTATTCTGTTACTAGCTATGAAGAAATCTGTTGGACCTTCTTCTGTTATTACTCTTATTTCACGATCTTGATATAATTGCTTAATAAAGGTAATTAGATTTTCTGGAAGTTTAATTCTTCTTATTGAGAGCTCTAAAGTATATATGCTAACTGAATCAAAAGCTTTTCGCATGTCCTGAAATGCTATCCAAAGCTCTTTATCTTTTTGAGCAGCATCTTCAATAACATTGTTTAGAATGTGTATTGGTGCTATAGTGCTTTTATTAAGTAAACTTGTGAAATTTGCTCCTTTTAAAATTTGTCTTTTAACGAGGACTTTGCTTAATCTTTTTTGAACAATTCTGACTACAACTTTTCTAAATGTCTCGAGTAGCATTATTGGCCTAGTGCTTGCTAGATTAAATTCCCAATCTGTACTCTTAGAAATTAAATATATTTGCTCTAATTTCCATTTTTTCGAGAATTTTCCTTCATAAACTATTTTGTTTGCGAAATTTATTAAATGTTCCTTTGTCTTAGGGCTTACTTTTTTGATAAGTCTATAGCTGATTCCTGAAATACCAGGTGCTGTATTTTCTTTTAGTAAGCTTGTAACTTCAGACTATTCTTTTTCTGTTATTCTGTTCATAACTTCTGTATACCAAATATTATTTATTCTTTTTTGCTCTTTATATATATTTGCCTATTCACAATCTAGTTACTCGAATTTATAGTTTTACT